AAGAGGGTTGACATGTAGTGGGGTTGTTAACCAATGTCATAAAACAATATGTGTACTGACTGTTTAATGAGAAGCTATTTGTTCTGTAAACCTTCACCTAAAGTACAATAAAAAAAAGTCAAATACATTGTTATGAGAATGATAATAATAATGAGAAATCATGAGAATGGGAGGAGCTCTTTTTTCCCCTCTTCTGAATGTTCCTTTTCTATAGCATCTTGTTCTCATTTCATTGGTGAAATGCCCTCTCTTAGCTCTGAAGATATTAAAAATCATTTTTTTTTTCAAGTTTTCTTGTCTTTACATAGTATCAGTTTCTTCCAAGTTGCTTTTTCCTGTTTGCTGGTTTTGGTCATTATATTTCTTGCTAGAGGCTTTCCTCACTGTCTAGTGGTTTTTGGCTTAGCACTCATGTTTTAAGAATGGGGCACTAAGAGCTGGTTTCAGTCTTTGTGTATATGGGTGGGGTTGACTGCAGGTTTTATTGTAGGCTGGTCTAGCTAGACTTTTTTTGGGGGGACCCCTCTGATATCAGTAACTTTAGGTCTTTCTTTCTTGGCCAGTGCATTCTCCATGGAAGAATCTTCCAATTCATTGTCTTCATATTCTGGTTGCTGAGCGGGAGAAGAAAGCTGAGGTCTTGGCATTTGGCATTCATTGTGTATAGATTGACCTAATTCTCTTGTTTTTTCAATGTGGTATTGCTGCCTTATCTGTGTGTGCTATCTTCCTGTCCAGAGACCTGCTGTTTTACCCTCTTTAGAGGTAAACCAGTTGTCTGTTGGTTTGGGGATGGTAATACCAGAGTTCGTATTGTTTCTTATACAGACTTATGACCAGTCTTCCTGTTTTCACTCCTCCATTTACTCCTACGTCATGGAGTACCTGGTGGCAACAGTTACTGAGCCTTTTGGGGTCGCAAATCAGGTTGCTTCTGGGCTTGTCCTCTGCTTGCATAGCATTCACCTTCCTTGATTTTGCTAAGTCAGTTATCACTCTGCTTTGTAGCTTCCAGAGTTTTATCATTACTGTCTTGTTGCCTATTTGTTGCCTTTGCGTATTTATGCTTTCTGATGTTTCCTATCTGTTGGCTGTTGAGTTAGGGCTTCAGGAGGGAGTGGAGATAAAGCTTATGTGCCATCTTTAATCCAAGGTTTCCTTTTTGTCTCACCAAGAATTCCTTCTTCATCACCTTTAAGGCTCCTCTCCCTTTGCTCATCTCTTAAATGTAGATTCTGTCCTTAATTCTGTTTGTTCCAACTGCTTAATCTTGTCCATTTCCTTCCTGGCAGCTACCATCTGTATACTCATGATTCCCAGATTTTTAACTCTAAGCTAGATCTCTTCTCCAAGTGGTAGACTCATACAGCCGCCTGCCTCCTGTATATCTCAGCTTGGAGTTTTACAGGTGCCTCAAATTCAGCATGTCCAAAAGAAAATTTGCTGTCTTTTTACCCCAAATCTTTTTCTATGTTTTCTGTGTTAATGAAAAGCCCTTTCATCTACCAAGCTACCCAGATTAGAAATTGGGTATTATCCTACCCTGCTCCCTTTTGCACAACCTTCTACATTTAATTTGTGAGCAAGACAAAGCTTCTTGCTTCTTCCTCCTTGATTTCTTTTATATCTGTCTTCTTCTCTCTATAATCAGTGCTTAGCTCAGACCCTCGTCATCTTCTACCCGGGCTATTGCAGTAATCTTCTGGTTGTTCTCTCTGCCTCCAGTCTTCCTCCAGTAATTAATCCTTCTTGTTCTTTACATCCATCAGTGTCAGCCAGTGTATTGACTGGAGGTTAAAAGCCGACACTCAACCTAAAGCCCTCCATGAGCTGATATATCCTTACATTTTCAGTTTTATCCCTCACTACACACCTATCACACCCTGTGCTTTAGCCACAGCAAACCATATACAATTATTTGAACCTGCCTTGGGGAGTCACAGTGCTGTGCTTTTGCTCATGTTGCTCCTTCTGCTTGGAATGGGTTTCCCTGCTTGTCTACTTGGGAAAACCTATAAATCTTTTAAAATTCTGTTCAAACGTCTGTAAAGCTTTGTGTAACCCTGTCCCTACCTCATTAAAACTTCCCAGCCTTATTTTGTGCTCTCAATGTGCCTGTTCATACTTTTATGACAGTGCCTATTAAATGATTATTGTACTTATTTGTTATAGGCAGGGCCATCTTGTTCATCTTCGTGTATACTGTGCCCCACACAGTATACGGTGCCTAGTAGATACTTGTTAAATATGTGGTAAATGCGAGGAGATGCTTAGATGAGACTTAAAGAATATGTAAGTGTTAGCCAGACAGAAATAGAAAGGTAAGGGCATTCCTGGAAGAGGGGTTAATGCGAAGACCTGGGAGAATATAGCATGTTTTGGGAATGACAGTTAGTTCCAGGAGACTGGAATATAGGATTTTTGCAGGGTCTTGGTGACTTACTGCATTTGGAATATGATACTATTAGAAAAAAACCAAAACCAAACCCACTGCCGTTGAGTCGATTGTGACTCATAGTGATTCTATAGGAGAATAGAACTGCCCTGAAGGGTTTCCAAGGAGTGGCTGGTGGATTTGAACTGCCAAGCTTTTGGTTAGCTGCTGTAGATTGCTTATCTCTTAACCACTGTGCCACCAGGAATCCAGTAGAGAAAAAGGAGGGAAGACTCAGAAAAGGAGAGATTTCTGAGGCAACACATTGCTGAGGGACCAATATGATGATTGGTCTTGGATAGAAGGAGTCATGGATAACTCCTCCACTGGGAAGAGAGACAAGACCTGGAGATAATGTGGATACAGAGAACTCTGTAGATAGCAGGCTGATGGGGAAGAGGAGCGGAAGGTTAGGGTACCCCTTCACTTATTCGACGAATATTTATTGAGCCCCTGCTATGTTCCAGGTACCATTCTAGGCTCTCGGTATATAGCAGTTTACAAAATTAAGGTCTCTGCCCTCATGGAGCTTACATTCTACTTTATGGTATCAGGCAATAAACAATAAACATAAGGAAGTAACTTATATACTATGTTAGAAAGTAATACATGCTGTGGAAATAAAAGAAAAAGCCAAGCAAAGTAAAAGGATCCAGAGAGCTGCTGAAGATAGGATAGGCTTCATTAAGAAGTGGATGCTTGAGCAAAGACTTGAAGGAGGTAAGGGGGTGAGCCATGCAGATATGTGGGAGCAGAGTATCCCAAGCAGAGAGAACCAGCAGTGCAAAGACCCTATGGTGGCAGCGTGCCTAGTGTGTTCAAGGGATGGCAAGGACACAGTGTGGCTGGAGGGGAGCGAGTGAGGAGGAGAGTGTGGTGGGTGATGAGGTCATAGGGGTAACAGGAGCCAGATGATGGGCCATGGTAAGGACTTTGGCTTTTGCTCTGAATAAATGGGGAGGCATTTTAGGCTCTCAGTAGAGAAGTGACATTATCTGACTTATGTTTTAATAGGCTATGTTGAGAATAGACTGAGAAGGATAACGATAAAAGCTGGGGGACTAGTTAGGAGTCTGTTGCAGAAATCCAAAGAAGAGATCGAGTAGATCAGGCCAGGATAGTAGCAGTGGAGATAGCAAGAGCCTTCAGGACTTCTTTACAGATGGGGTAAAACCCATTGCCGTCGAGTAACTTCCAACTCCTAGTGACCCTGTGGGACAGAGTAGAACTGCTCCATAGGTTTTCCAAGGCTGTAAATCTTTACAGAAGTAGATGGTCACGTCTTTCTCCCGTGGAGCAGCTGGTGGGTTTGAACTACCAACCTTTCAGTTAGCAGCCAGCCGAGTGCCTAACCACTACACCACCAGGGCTCCTATAGATGGGATATGGGGTATGAAAGAAGTAGAGCAGTCAAGAATTATACAGTTTTTGTAGGATGGAGATCCCAGCAGGTGGGGCAGGTTTGGGGTTGAAGATGAGTTCATGTATTTTGAGACGGAGCTCTGGTGGAGCAGTGATTAAGAGCTCGGCTGCTAACCAAAAGGTCAGCAGTTCAAATCCACCAGCCACTCCTTGGAAACCCTATGCGGCAGTTCTGCCCTGTCCTATAGGGTTGTTATGAGTCGGAATTGACTCAACGGCAACGAGTTTTTTGGTTTTCAAACATCCAAGTGAAGATGTCGAGTAAGCGGTTGGATATATGAGTCCGGAATTAGATAAAAGTTTGAGCTGGAGATAAAAGTTTGGGAATTATCAGCATATAGATCATAATTCACAGCTTATGAGCTAGATGCGGTCAGCATCCAGGGGGTGATGAAAGATGACTGGAGGTGTAGAAAAGAAGAGGACCAAGGCCTGAGCCCCGGAGAGCTCTGACTTTTCAACACCAGTGAGAGGAGGAAGACCTAGCCAAGGTGTCTGAGAAGGAGAGACAGTGAAGTAGAAGAAAATCTAGGTGAATCTGGCATCTTGGAAGCCAAGTGAAGAAAACATATCAAGGTGGAGGGGTGATCAACTTTGTAAATTGTGTCATCCATTCTTGGTTTTTTATCTTTACTCTGTAAAGTGGAAATAAGGTTAGTCACTGGCTGAGAAAGGGGATTGTTGAGGTAAGTTAATGTTGACTGTTTGCAATAACTATCTACATATTGGAAAGTGGGCATGGAAGAATGTCTACTATAATCTAAAATTGATTTTGATACTTTGAGGAATGTGCTTATTTTGGAAAGGGGTGAAATAGTGACACTTTTATTTTAATTTCCTTTTGTGATACTGCCTTTTCTTCTTTGTAGAAAACTTACTGGAAATCATATTGCTCAGACACAGTTGATGAATGACCTGTTGGTAGGCATTAGAGTTTCAGTGACATTAGTACAGAAAGTACAAGGTTTCCAGGGAAATCTTTGGAAGGCTTCCAGTTCTCCGATATGGCAAAGTATGTGTGGCTTGCTGAGTATTTTCACCAATTTTGTAAGTGATGGTAAGTGTAGCAACGAACAGATGAGGATTACAATGTGTGTCAATCAGCTTTTTCTAATGATTGCATGAAATACACGATAGTCACCTGAGATGTGGAACTTCCCCTCCCTCCCTGCCAACCCCAAAGAAGGGAATGGTTCTGGATTATATAGTTTTAATGTTTTTTTCTTGCAAATGTAGTGATTCAGCAAGGGATAATGTTAAATTTATACATATATTGTATGCAAAGCACAAAACCTAACAATCTAGTGTTCAAAAGCAACAGACTTTCAATAGCAAAAGGAATATTTTCAAAGGAAATTACCATATCCAGAGGGAAGTTCTAGAAAGGTTCATGTACCCCATACATTTCTTTTTAGCAGGAGATGTTATCTTCAGATAATTACAATAGTTACTGATTGTGGAACTGGTCAGTATTCCTCTTCATATCTTACATGTTGTTTTATCCATATGAACTGTACCACTGGGCACCCAAATAGTAGATGAGAGGGAAGTGTTTCTTTTAATAGTATTCCAACTAATAACTGAAAAAGAAATGATAGAAAATCATCATTTTGTAACTTGTAATGAATGGTTATAGACATTAAGCATTAACAGCTGCTAACATTATGAAAGAGAGACTACCAGACCATGTGTATTCTTAGAGCCTTGACATCACTGAAAGGATGGAACTTGAGACTGATCCAGTCTCTAGGTCCAATTGCCAATTTGTAGGAACCACAGAGGGCAGAGGAGCATGTTGAACCACTGCAGGAGTAAGCAAACAGCAACATTCAGATGATGAGAAACTACAGGTCAAATGGCCAGGGTTCTTCAGCAGAGAAATTGTAAAAAAAGAAAAGGAAGGAGGGGGTGCCTGTAGATTAAAAGAGACTTAGAAGACATGAAATTAAAAAAAAAAAAAATGAGCAAGACTATAATGTCTAGGTATGCACATTTGGTTGATAAAACTGTATAAAAATATACCTATTGCTATCTAGTTGATTCCAACTCATTGCGACCTTATAGGACAGAGTAGAACTGCCCCACAGGGTTTCCAAGGCTGTAAATCTTTACAGAAGCAGACTGCCACATCTTTATTCTGTGGAGCAGCTGGTAGGTTCAAACCACTGACCTTTTGGTTAACAGGCAAGTTCTTTAATCACTGTGCCACCAGGGCTCCATATATAAAAATATAAGGAAATGATTATTATTAGAGTCAGGATAATGCTTACTCAAGATGGGAGGGAGAGGTTTGTTTTTGTGATGGCACATGGATGAGCCCTCAGGGCTGGGTGGCCAAGTTCTATTTTTCACGTGGGTAGTGGGTACAAGAATACCTTCTAATAATTCATTAAGCTATATATTTGTTTTGGGTGATTTTCTGTGTCTGTTTTATATTAGACTAAGAAGAGTAACAAAACAAAGTCATCCCTAACACGTAATATAGATACATAAGTATCTACATAAAAGGTTAAATTACTTTTTCTCCCCTTTCTTACCCTTTATCCGGGCACATGGCTGCCCTAATCAAAGTTGCAGTTGTGTTACCGAGGACAAGGGCAGAATGGATATTTAGTAGGTAATTCATAGTGACTGTCATCCTTCTTACCCCACACTGAACAGTTCATACTATTTTGTATAATTTTCTCAAAATAAGAGTCTAATACAGATAAAACGAGAAGATAACCAAATCAAGACTGTTTGGTTGCGTTGGGGACAGTGCTGATGAGAGCATAGTTTATAATTAGCATTGATGTAGACTCTTCACAAGCCCCAAAACCCCTTTAAGAAAAAGTATATCTATGTGGGAGTTGGGATATGCTGTCATTGGTGAAGGGGCTGAGGCAGGTGGTAGGGTATTGTTGCTGGGTGTACTGGGAGCGGTCAGTGGAGAGGAAGAACGCGTGGATGTTAGAGGAGAGAGGAAGGAATCCGCATTTATTGAGTACCTATGTGCTGGGCATAAAAGCCTTTATGCTTATTATTCATATAAACCTTACAGCACTTGTGTTTGATAGGAATTGGGTTTTTTTTCCCTCCCATTTTATGAAAGGTGGTACAGAGGTTAAATGCTCAACTGCTAACCCATAGGTCAGCGGTTCAAACCCACCAGCCGCTCCTAGGGAGAAAGATGTGGCAGTCTGCTTCTGTAAAGATTACAGCCTTGGAAACCCTATGGGGCAGTTCTGCTATGTCCTACAGGACTGCTACGAGTGGGAATCAACTCGAGGGCAGTGGGTTTTTTATAAAAGGGAAAGCTAACTTCCAGGGAGGTTAATTAACTTGCCCAAGGCATTCTCACCTAGGAAGTAATGGCCAAGCTAGAATTTGCTCCCAGGACTGTTTGACCCCACAGCACCTACTCTCCACTGAACCAGCATATCCATTGTCATTTCATGCATGTTTTCTGCTTTTTTGCCAAATAGATGACCTCTTACAGACAATTCAGAGCACATCTGGATTAGCTATTATTCTCTTTATTAAGATTATGTTTGATCCACCTGAAAAGATCCCTGGTTTGGTAAGTGCATCTCCTTTTTAGAATTGTACTTTAGTGACTTAAACATATCTTTTAAAAATATAATATGAATAAAAGTAAAATTTGTTTATTTTTTGCGTAGTCTGAATTTTTTTAATGACCTTTTTCTATAATAAGAATATATGTTTATCATTGACAATTCTGAAAATTCAGATAAAGAAAAAGAAGACAGTAACAGTCAGCTGGAAATCCATCTCACAAAGATAACCACCATCAGCATTTTTGGTGTATATCCTTCCAGTTTTTTCTGATGATATTTGTTCAGTCCAATCTCTTGTCATATCATGAGGCACGTTGTAATATTAAAATTATGCAGAGATTAATATATAGACACATATGCAATAATAACTTCTTGATAAATTTTTTCTATTAAAAAACCTAAGTTATGTATCTTAGACAGGAAGGATATTAGAGTCAGTTATTCAGTGAATTTGATCCATATGGAAAATATAATTTGATGATTTAGACCACAGTTCCTGTATTTACTACTAGCAGATTTTTCCCCCTTACTGTATTATATAGAAAATTATTTTATTTTATGCAAAATGTACATGCACTGTTATATGACATCACATGAAGTAATTATCATTGGATAAAGTTTAAAAATTTTTATTTTTCATATCACCATTAAAAAGCTTTAGTTAAGCTCACCCACCTGCAGGTGGCGCTGTGTTCTGATCTACTGGTATACTCATAGCAACAAAATAATTCATATACATAGTGTTTTTTTTTAATTTTAAGATAATCTTAATGCTTGTGGCTTTATTTCATTTATTTTAATTATTTTTTTAAACCTTTAGTTTCAGTTATTTTTCTTGGGATGTTTTAGGGAAAAGAGATTTTTGGATTCATATTTTAGAGTATTAGAGACTTTCTGTGTGTTAACCCTGTTGTGTTTCCAGATTAGCAGTTTGCTTCTGCGTTCAGTGGACTGCGTCAGCATCCCTGAGTGGTTTATGAGCAGCTGTAGGAATCTCTGTTGCGCTGAGATCCCTGAGTCGGCTCTCTTATTCCTGTGTCAGGGGACACTTGCCATGTTGGACTGGCAGAATGGGAGCATGGGCCCGTGTGGGGAGGCCCTGCTCTTAGATACTGTACACGTTCTTTTCTCCTTGAGTTCACGGTGAGTTTTGATGATGCTGGCTCACATTTCATTTTGAGTTTCATTTTGCTTGTAAAACATAATTGGAAGCATTTAATAGATGGCCACAGAACCAGCATATTTAGTAATTCTGTGGAAAGTGGTCAGGATAAATCCTAAGTTAACGATGATATACGTGTAGGACTGAAGTGGGTGTGGAAGTAGAACAAGAGGAGATGGGATGATGATGGGAGAGAAAGAGTTATAAGAATTATTGGTGTAGATTAACCTGTAATGAACATTTCTGAAATTAATTTTAACACTCAGTCCCTATGCTGGCATTTTTCAAAACTATAAAAAATTTTTGTGTATATGCTTTAGAGCTTATGAAGAACGGCAGCATTGGTGATCCAGTTTGATCCTCACGTCTGATAGACAGGAAATCGTATTTTGTTGAATTGGTAAAGTGAGGCTAAGAAAAGTAAATGCTTACCTAAGAGCATATTGCTAATAAGAACCCAAACCAGAGCAATAACCAGGTCTTCTGACTTCACTTGAATGTATTTCTATATTTTTGGTGTTTTTGCCATACTGGCTGAAAGTGATTATGTGCTTAAAATGTCAAACCATAGATATAGCTTGATAGTAATGAGCATGTGGATAAAGAAGGAAAACTACAATGTTCTAAAATAAGTTTTTTACGTGTTGTTTAGTTTATATATGTTTAAAAATTATGCATATTTTAAAAAGAATTTTATAGTTATTATGTTTTTAGTAACAGTTTTATTGAGATATAATTCACGTGCTATACAATTCACCCATTTAAAATGTGCAATTCAGTGGTCTTCTACTGTATTCACAATTAATTTTAGAACATTTTTGTCACCCCCTCCCCCACCCCAGAAAAAACCTCATACCCATTAGCAGTCTCCTCATTTCTTCCTAACCGCCCCCAACCCTGGGCCCTCATTATGGTTTTTTTTTTTTTTTTTTTAATTGTGGAAAATATGTAGGTAATAAAACATTTGCCATTTCAACAACTTTCACATTTACAGTTCAGTGACATTAAATATGTTCATCATGATGTTCAGCCATCACCATTCCCAAATTTTTCCATCACCCTTAACCTGAAGCTCAGTGTCTCCCAAGTATTGTGTCTTCCTTTCCCTCTCCCTCCCACCTGTCCCTGGTAACCACTAATAAACTTTAATCTTTATACACTTACCTATTTTAGATATTTCATGTAAGTGGAATCTTACGGTATTTGTGCCCTTGTGACTGACATTTCACTAAGCATAATGTTTTCAAGGTTCATCCATGTTGTAGCATGTACAAGGCCTTCATTTCTCTTTATGGATGAGTAATAGTTCATCATCAGAGAATACTGAATATACCATTGAATATGCCAGAAGAATGAACAAATCTGTCTTGGAAAAAGTACAGCCAGAATGCTGCTTAGAAGGGAGGGTGGCGAGACTTTGTCTCATGTACTTTGGACATGTCCCTGGAGAAGGACATCATGCTTGGTAAAACAGAGGCTCGATGGAAAAGAGAAAGACCTTCAATGAGATGAATTGACACGGTGACTGCAACAGTGGACTCTAACTTAGCAACGATTGTGAGGCTGGTGCAGGATCAAGCGGTATTTTGTTCTGTTGTACAGAAGGTTGCTATGAGTCAGGACCAACTCGATGGTACCTAACAACACCAACAAGTGTATATACCACATTTGGTTTATCCATTCATTTGCTAATGGACATTTAGGCTGTTTCCACCTTTTGGTTATTGTGTTCTTGCTTTTTGTTCTTTTGCCTCATTATATTTTAAAACACCCATGAAACTGTCATCACAATCATGATAATGTACATTTCCATCACCCCCCCAAAGTTTCCTTGTGCTCCTTTTTGGGCTAGCTTTTATAA